ACATATGTTACAGACCTACTGATATGAGTCACAGCACACATAAACATTCGTCATTTCAGACATTTGTAACGAACCTGTGCTCCGTCGCAAGATCACTCACTTCAAACGCTATCAGTTTCACGCGTCTCGGATCCACAGTTCCTCAGTTTCAGACAACATGTCAAATAACGATGCTGTTATAGAATCTACCAACTGTTGTCGGGTTCCCATACAATCATTTATTAACGCCTGGATTCTTCACAAAATGAGCAAAGAGAAAAGTTCGAATTAACTTCCAAAAATAACTCCCTCGTTAACTCCACTATTGAACGAAATTGTGTGGACTGTCGATAAGGCGGGCATTTTTTAATTTTAATTATAAATTATAAGTTAAAAAAGAACATAAGAGCAGAGAAAACGTAAATATAAGTATTGAACTGTTTTTGTATGATATTTATGATCTATTTGAATGACACAGCTTTGCAAGCAAACAAATCATAATGGCTAGCGCATTATGTTGTTTGCTTGCAAAGCTGTGTCATTCAAATAGATCATAAATATCATACAAAAACAGTTCAATGCTTAAGTAAATATCAATATCAGGTATAGCTAGGTATTCATATGCAAGTTCTAACAAGGTCATTAAGTTGAACAAACTTAACCCTTTCACCACTGTAGACCATAATGGACCCCTCCATATCAATGCATGGTAGAGTCTACTAAAGTTACATAGGGGTTAAAGGGTTAACAGCACTTCATCTTAGACTGCACCTAGACAAATATCACCACCCTAGAAGTTTTGTTCATTGAGATGAGTTTAAAGACAAATATCACTACCCTAGATGTTTTGTTCATTGAGATGAGTTTATTTAAAGGTTTATACACATTTGACCATGTGTATATAACCTTGAAAATTGATCAACTTCATTCACATGAACAAACTTGATAGCTCTACATCTTAGCATGCTACAGGCAAACTATCACTGCCCTATGCATTTTGGTCAAACAGAATAAGTTGATTAAATATTTTTAACCTATTTGACCACTGCGACCTAGAAAAAGGAGGAAGGTCATTCATTAATTTGACAATGATTGCGTAGCTCTTTATCTGTATCTAACAGGTCACATATCATCCTAGGCATTTTCATTTTTTCAGAAGAAGTTTAAACTGTTTTTAAGACAATTGAAAAGACTATGAATGTTGGGGAAGTCATTCATTTGAACAAACTTGGTACAACTTCATCTCAGCTTGCTAAATATCCTCACCCTAGCTATTTTGGTTATTTTGAAGAAGTAATTTAAAGTTTTTAATATATTTGACCCTTGTTACCTTGCATATGGCGTAAGGTCATTCAATGGAACAAACTAATTAGTACCCCTTCATCCCTGCATGTTACTGGCCAATTATTCATCCTGGGCTTTTGTTAAGGAGAAGCTGTTCAAAGGTTTTTTAATGACAATTGACATCTGTGACCGTGAATATGCATGAAGGTCATTCATTTGAATAAATTAAGTAGTCCTTCATCATATTGTATTGGTACTGGCCAAATATCATCATGATCGTCCTGGGCCTTTTGGTTATTCAGACAATGTTGTTTAAAGTTTTTAACATATTTTACCCCTGAGACCTTGAATATGGGCGAATGTCATTCATTTGAACAAATTTTGTAGTCCTTTAACTCAGCATGCTACTTGCCAAATATCATCATCCGGGAGCTTTTCGTTATTCAGAAGAGGTTGTTTAAAATTAAGCATACTCGACCCCTGTGAAGGTCATTCTTTTGAAAAAAGTTTGTAGCCCTTCATCATTGCATGCTTCTGCCCAAATATCACGTTCCTTGGCCTTTTCATTTATGCAGAAATAGTTTGTAAAAAGATTTTAACACATTTGACCCCTGTGACCTTGAAAATGCAAGAAGTTCGTTCCTTTGCACAAACTTGGAAGTCCTTCATTCCAACATGTTACTGGCCGAATGTCATCATCCTGGACCTTTTTGTTATTCAGAAGAGGTTGTTTCAAGATTTCAAAATATTATTTGACCTCTGTGACTTTAAATATTGGTGAAGGTCTACAAGCCCTTCATCCTAGCATGCTACTGGCCAAATATCGTCACCCTATAGCTATAGGCCTCTTGGTTATTCAGAAGAAGTTGTTCAAAACAAAAATTTACACTGGACAGACGACAGATGCAGCACCGCGGCATAGTTATAAGCTCACTTGGCCATTTCAGCTAAAAATTGAAACACGTTTAAATTCCACACAAAGTACAAGTTACATGCAAATAACAAATAACATAGTTTTTTTTTACAATCAATACATTCAATTAACAGGTTATTATTAATAATAATAATAATAATAATAATACTGGACGCAGGCAATATGCCTATATATCCAGATCTGGAATATCGTCAGACACTATGCTGACGTCCCGGCAATGAATAAGTTCATTATTGTCTATCTCATGGTTATAGAAACAATCAGGTTGTCCCCAATACTTATCCAGACGGGATTCAAATGTTTTGATTGTTGGTGAGGTGACGACAGTATCGGGTAGGGAGTTCCAGTGGTTTACAATACGTTCTTTAAAAACATATTTTCTTAAGTTCAACCTGCACATCCCCTTTAGTAGTGTGAGACTGTGGCCTCTTGTTCTTTTGTTATTATTTAGGCATAAAAATCCTTCGCTGACCGCGTTATCGTATCCTCCGTGAGTTAGTTTGTACACTTGAATCATGTCTCCTCGCAGTCTTCTATGCTTGAGTGTTGGTAGTTTTAATATCCTTAATCTGTGATCATAGTTCAACTCCTTCATTCCCGGTATTTGTTTAGTCGCTCTTCTTTGTACATTTTCCAGTTCATTTATGTGTTTTTGTAGGTATGGATTCCATACGCTGGTATTATTGTTTCAGTATACAATAAATTGTCATATTTTGAAAGCAAAATTTGTAATGAAGATCTTACTTTTTTCCTCTCTCTCACTTTCAGAAGTTGAAGGTATCCAGGACAACAGAAACATCAGATGAAGCTGCTCAAATGTTGTACGATCTTAAGGTTCCCAGCAAGGTTATGAAGAAATAACATTCCAAGATGTTGTCCTTGTCACGGATGGAACACGGACAGACTAGGCAGCACACACAGCTATACTGGCTTCATTGATATCCATTGTGCTTCAATGTTAACTCATTCACCCCTGAAATTTCATAATGAACGATTCCAACCTTTGAATTGGAAGAGTTCAAAAGTGTCTTCAGGGGTGAATGAGTTAATATATCCTTTTTTTCTTAGCCGAATTCCTGATATATCATCTTTCACAACATTGAAGATACATGTACCTACAACTTCATTTTCATGCACTTGTAATGAGATTAAGACGGTTAAAGACTGACTTGTGAGCAGATTCTGATGAAAAGATTGTTCTGGACCAGAGACTGTCTCTAATAAGTGGATGGCTTAACTTACTAACTCTGACCTAAAACATCTTTACAAAAATAGTAATGTCATCAACGATATTGGAACATTGTGAACGACTTTTATCATGGATCCACTTTCTGATAATTCTTCATGTGTACTCCATCAAGATACATGTATATGTGGTTTCTTTATAAATGTGTTACCTGTTTATTAGGGGTGTCACATTAGGCAAAGATTGTATCATGATATATTGCAATACAGAATGAATATATTGCAATACATATCCCGATATATTGTCATAAGAAGGATGTGCTCGATTTTATAATAAGTTGTTGTCAGAATGTTATCAAACTTTAATAATTATATATAATATGGATCACATAGATTAAAGTTTTTTGTCAAACCAACCATCGATTACAAAATTTGAACTAATTCCCACCACTATTAAAAGCCTCCTTTATGCTTATTGGCATATCTGTTAGAATTTGTAGTAATTTACAAAGTTAAAACACAAAGCAGAAACATAAAAATATGCTATTGAAAAATATTGCGATACAGCAATATTTCATCTCTGTATTGTGGTACCATACGAGATACCCGTGTATTGCGATATACCTGTTTTCTGATATATTGTGACAGCCCTACTGTTTATGTACATAATCTAAACAAACTGTGATATTTTTCATGTTTATACATATATAGAAGATTTATGTATGAACTGTCAACTATTAAGAAATCTTTCTCTACTTTTATACTAGTTTGTAGTAACATTGATCAACTGTTTTACAGTGTTGCATTTTTGGTGAAGCTGTCACTGATACAGTTTTCTCCCATCCATAACAGGTGTGTCTCCCGTTTTAGCCGGAAAAGATCAGCTTGTCACCCCCTAGGGGGAGATAGCCTCGTGCCAATTAGCATGTGATTAATTGTGACGTCATTGAAATGTGTCATCGGTAATTGTGACGTCATCAAAAGTGAATGACGATATGCATACCCCACATGTGTTTTTGTTTACAAACATGGCAGACTACTGTCTGTGTAGTTGTGACTAAAATGATGGATGGGAGAAAAAAAATCATCCCCTACCTTGAGGGTGTAACAGAGAAATCTCCAACCCTCGTGGTAATGTTTTTTGGTAGAGCCTCGGGTTAGACAACCAAAAAACATCACCCCTCGGGTTTGAGATTTCTCTGTCACAAATTAGTCCCCTAGATAAGTAGGACAACTTTATCCAACCAATCTAGCTTTTAAATAAAATATATGTATAAGTTGACAAATGTTATGAATCCAAGATTTTTTTACTTTCTTTTTTCTGTTTCTTATTTAATTTATAGTTGTGGTATTATTCAGATCAAGTTGGATCATATCACCTTTTTGTTATGACATTGGTTGTTTTATTTGAATCTTTTATCTACATCTTGTAGTATTTTTTCTTTAAAAAAAAGAGGCGCAGTAGTCTAGTGGTAGGACGCCGGGCTCGTGATCGAAAGGTTGCGGCTTCGAGTCATGGCACGGCATTATATTGTATCTTTGAGCGAGATACTTGACTCCGCTTGTTACAGTCTACTCGATCAGCTGTAAATGAGTATGTGGTTCAGGGCAGTGCTTGAATTGTAGAATGCTAGCTGTGAGCGTCGAAATGGCAGTACTGGCTGTATGCTCCCCAGGGAGCTGAGAAAGGTATTGGCTGGTTGCAAAGGCCCTATTACCACGGATAGTAATTTGTGAACCACTTTGAGACGACCTACGAACTACCGGGTATAGGTTGTGATAAAGCGGTATATAAGAACCTCGAACTATTATTATTATATCTACAGTATATATATATAAATGTATGTATACATATATATTACTAAAACCAGAATTGTCCCAACTAAATTTTCACCTGTGCATGTGCTGTAATAACAAGTGTGGGATATTTCAAGATGACGTCTTACTCTTGGTTTATTTTTTTTTCTTACAAACTAGACCAAAAGTCAACAAAAATGTAATCGCCAATATATAACTAGGTATTTTGGGGAAAACCCCATAAACTAGGAAATAAGAATTTAACACAACAAGGGTCTATCAGTATGAATGTATTTCATCAAGTGAAGTAACATATTTTCCTGAGTATTTGAAAATTTACTTTTTGCTAAAATTCATTTCTGTAATCAAGCTTTTTATTGAATAAAAAATGTTGATTTTTCTTATATTGGATTTGTTGATTGTTTACATGTCGGTTGAGTAGAAAATATGAAATAAAACCAGAGCTGGGTCTGCTGATCAGCTGGATATTCATAAACAAATATTAAAGCAACTAATCTCGGTGAAAGTAATGTTACGCATGTTTCTCCATTTAGGTATCTATCTGGTACCAAGGATGCATCAAAGCCAATCTGGTTGAGATTTGTATGAATGTGAAAATGATGATAGTGTTAGACTTTCAAAATGTTTATGTAATGACCTGGGAATAAGTCCCCAAGGCAAGATCACATATCCAGGTGTTACATATATCATCCTCGATATCCAGGGGTTTTGCTCACTTTCGCTCTCTACACCCCTGGAATATGTCATAGCAAAGTCAAGGGCTCAGTGTGCATGACCTTGTGGAGGAGACTAAAGACTAGTTCGATCCTTTGATATACATCAAAAGAACCTTGCGGCCACATAACGGTAAAAATTGACAGGCTTTGATGTCGGGCGTTTCTCCTTTGTAATTTTCAGAGGACAGGTATCAGCCTAGCGATTGGTCATTTTTTTTACCCGAGACCAATCAAACAGCTATCTTCGTGCCTTCAATTTTGCTATGACATATTCCAGGCGTGAAGAGAGCGAAAGTGTTATGTCCCAATTAGCACTAAAAAATGTATTTGACTTGAACCACCATTTTGATCCCTATAACTTGAAACAATTTCTTCTGAATAACCAAAAGAACCAGGATGATGATATCTGGCCAGTATCATAATAGGATGAAGGGATATCAAGTTTATTAAAATGAATTACCTTGACTTATATTCGAGATCACAGGGGTCAAATATGTTTGAAACCTTTAAACAACTTCTTCTGAATAAACAAAAGGCCCAGGGTGATGATATCTAGCCAGTAGCATGCTATGATGAAGGGCTACCAAGTTTGTCGAAATGAATGACCTTGACCTGTATTCAAGGTCTCAGGGATGAAATATGTTCAAAAACTTTACACAACTTCTAAATAACCAAAATCCCCAGAACGATATCTAGCCAGTAGCATGCTAGGATGAAGGGCTACCAAGTTTGTCCAAATGAATGACTTTGACTTATATTCAAGGTCACAGAGGTCAAATTTGTTTAAAAATCTTGAAACGACTTCTGAATAACCATGAGGCCCAGAATGTTGATATTTGGCCATTGGCATGCTTGGATGAAGGGCCATCAAGTGGTTTTTTTGAATGACCTTGACCCACTTTCAAGGTCACATTTCGTCAAATATTTATTAACCTCAAATTAACTAATCTCAATAAACAAAAGGTCTAGGTTGGTGATATTTGTCAAGTTGCATGCTGAGATGAAGGGCTATAAAGTTTGTTCAACGTAATGACCTTGTTTGCCTTTCAAGTTCACAGGGGTCAAATGTTTTAAATCTATTAATAGGTTCTTTTGAATGACTTAAGTCATCAATACTGATATTTTGCCTGTAGCTTTATTTTAGATCATTTTTAAGGTTACAAGTGTGATATTAACACCAGATGAGCTGCAGGCCCATTGGGCCTCTTGTTACTTTTAATGGGACCAGAGATTCTTTTGATGTACATCAAAGGATCAAACTAGTCTTCTTGTCTCATCAACAAGGTGGTGCACACTGATCCTTCAATTTTGCTATGACATATTCCAGGGGTGCAGAGAGCGTAAGTGAGCGTAACCCCTGGAGGATGCCATCTTGTATTTGATAGTTAAAGCTTATTATCACTCAGAAAGTACCTAAGGCATCTTTCTAAAACTTTATAATTAGGTTCCCTTTGACGCTTCATAGAGTCTTCTCTATGAAATATACTATGTTTAGCAGTGAGTTGAAATCCAAATACCGGGGTACTACAGTTGTTAGATTGAATTGGGCAATGGTTAATGTCAGGGTAGGGCAGTCATGTTCATTCACACAGAATACATACTTTTGTAACTGTAGCATTGACTTTTCAAGTTAGAAGATGGAGCGAAACCAGTGTTCCTGATTGGAAATTTATTGCTTCAAAAACTTGTTCTGCTCAGTAAAATGTGAAATGTTTAGTTTTTCAAGTTACTTACCCTACTACACAGGTGCTGGATACTGAAATGATGTGATTGTTGACATTTTCGCCAATTTGACCCCGCTACGCAGGCCCTTATTGTTTGTGGCACTGTTTGGTATATACAAACTTATTACATAACAGAGGTCATTTGCCGTGCTATATTACTGTTCTATAAAAGCAAACCACATACAGTAACACTATTGTGATGTCATACACATGATGTCACTTTATTGTACTTACATGACGTCACGCTATTGTCTCGGCAGTGAAACATATGACTTCCCTCAAAACGCTCAATATAAAGGAGAAGCATTGAAAACACATTTGCAAGCTTGTTTTTCAAGTTATTTAATAAATAAAATCCAATACTCATCTTCAAATGATAAAGAATTTATTGAATGAGTTTATTAATTTCATATGAAATTCACAAAAAGGTTTGTTCCGATAAATTAAATATTACATGATTACTTACGTTAAATCCTCTTTGTAATATAACTGGGTAAACTAGAACACGGACATGTCAGGAAGGGCCCGACTATGTATCTGACCCTAATATTGAGATTACATTGACATTAGGTTGTTACTCTTTCCTTCTCGTTACATCAGGCAAGTTTAATGAAAATTCAACGTTTCCCTCAACATACAATTTGCAGAGTAAAATTTAAAT